GTGCAGGTCACGGGTTCAACTCCAGGGAACTGTGCAGATACTGTACACAGGTAAGCTGAGGTCAAGGGATCGACCCCTGGGATCTGCATCGGCTATTCCTCTACATTTTCTCTCAACGAATGTTTTCCTGAAAACCTCATTACAACTTCTTCAACCCACAGAGAACTCTACGCCATCCTTAAAACATTTCTTTTTCTGGAAATTAATCACCCCCATCTTCTTCTTTCCACTTCCATCAGACTTCTCTCAGACAGCCAATCGGTTGTAGCCCTGCTCCATCATCTTCAAAGGTGAAAACTGTTTCAACACTACTGGTAGCACTTTTTGACATATGGACGTGATTGGGGTCGGATGCGGCCGGGTATGGTCGTAATTGCAGTCAGATGCATTTTGAAAAGTGCAGGTGTGAGCACCCCGTGAGTCTCCTCTAGAACATGGAAAGATACACCACCATAGCTTTGTAGCTTTGTTTTTTTGTTCATTTGGAGAGCAGTGGAGCGTGGGCGTAGCGCCCAAGTGATAAAAATGTCAGCTCGCCGTAGATTGCGATGGCCCGAACAGAAGACATTCTACCCGCGTTGTCGTGTCGTGGCCGGCGGCGTGAGGTTCAGGTTCAGCGCTGTAACTACTATGGTGGACATGTCCCCGAAGTTTCAACATCATTGCAGAGATGATGCGCTCTGAGTGAAGCGGGTGCAGAGATTATGCGCTCTGAGTGAACCGGGTGCAGAGATTATGCGCTCTGAGTGAAGCGGGGAATGCCTTTCTCGAACAATCCCCCGCCTGAGGAGCGGGGGAGAAGTTGCGCAGACGCTGCAGAAACGGTAGTCTGTTGATTAGTGCCTCTTCATCGAACCATTGTAGGAGGAGTGGTGCTTGCTTTGAAGCGATGGCGGCGGCGGCGGTACTCGGACAGCGCGGCGCATGTTGCGCCTACGGCGCTGCAGCGGGGACCGCGGAATCCGGCGGGACAGAGATCATCGCTTATCATCACATCTCCACTGTATCGGCGAGCCTTGTCAGTCGGTCCACGGAAGACCTGGCCAGCGGAAGAAGGGCGAGACTGAGGAGGACGTGGCTCGCCTCTCCGCGCTGTAAAGATCTCCCATCGTCCACAAATTACGTCATTTCAGGACATGACCGACTTGCTTTGGACTCCTGCTCGTCGACAACATCTCCTTCTCCCTCGTTCCGGATCACCGCCGCCGCCGCCGCCGCCGCCGCTGACGGGGCAGGGGCAGAGGATACAGCCGTTGCCACGCCGCCGCCATTGCCAGAGAGTGGCGGAGATTCCGCTGGCGGCGGAGAGCACGCGCAGTTGGTGGACGAAAGCCATACTCTCACTCTTGATGGCATTAGGAACACTCTGATCCGATTAGAAGACAGCATAATCTTCCACTTGATTGAGCGGGCTCAGTACAAGTGGAATCTTCCAACCTACGACGCGAGGATGATCTCTGTTCCCCCTCACAATCTCTCTCTCCTTGCATTTCTGTTGAGGGAGACGGAACGACTCCACTCCAACGTTCGTCGCTACACTAGTCCTGACGAGCACCCGTTCTTCCCCGACGCCATCGAGAGACCTCTCCTCCCTCCTCTCCTCTATCCCAAGGTGCTGTGCGCGGGCTCCGGAGTTGTGAATGTCAATCCGGCGATCTGGAAGATGTACATAGAATGGCTTGTTCCACAACTGACAGAAGAGGGCGATGACAAGAACTACGGATCGGCTGCCACGTGTGATGTGCTGTGCCTGCAGGCTCTGTCTCGTCGAATCCACTATGGGAAATTCGTGGCAGAAGCCAAGTGTAGAGAAGCGATGGAAGAGTACGACCGACTCATCTATAACAAAGATAGAGAAGGGATAATCAAGAAACTTACTGTGGAGGCTGTTGAGGACGCAGTGGTTCGACGAGTAGAACTGAAGGCGAGGACCTTTGGTCAAGACATCCTCGAGTCGGGCGTCGCTGCCGCGTGCGACAGCGAGGAGCCGCGCAAGATCGACCCAAAAATCGTCGCTCGTCTTTATCAAGACGGCATCATGCCGCTCACCAAGGAGGTGGAGGTTGAGTACCTTCTTCGCCGTCTCGACTTTCCCAGTACACCTTGATTCACCGAGCCTTGCACCTGTTCTCCCAGCTCGGGCTCCAAATACTCCCCTCTCCCTCCGGGGGCCGTGGCCGACGGACATGTCGCAAGAGGGGGTGCGAAAGTGCGCACGCAGAGACAAACACGGTCTGCTATTCATTCATTCCGCCGATTAGGCACACACACACACACACACACACACACACAGAGAGAGAGAGAGAGAGAGAGAGAGAGAGAGAGAGAGAGAGAGAGAGAGAGAGAGAGAGAG